GAACTTCCAAACCGCGACGCATAGTGCATCCTGACTGACCTCAACATCGTTTGCTTTATTATAGTACAAAAAGCGTCGCGTTACCGCAAAGAGTTATTTCCCAGTGTAAACCTCTCTCTTGTTCCCCTCTCCAATGCGCCAACCGACCTTCCGTCAAGCAACTAGTAGTTTGCGTGGGACATTTGGTTGACTGAACTAAACAGCCCGTCAACGCCAGCAACTCACCACCTGATCCGTAGTTTGTGGACTGGACTACACCGAACGCCATGCTTCCCGATCACGCGATATCTGCATATTCTTGCATACGATCTTTCATTTATTAAAGCGCACTCGTAAAGGGGATCGCATGCTTGCTGCAGGAGGTAGAGAGACAGACATTCTGTCTTGTAAGTTAAGTTCTGTGGACTGGACTCATATGTGTGTTAATTCGACTGTTGCAAGCGAAGATGTCCAGTAACAGTGAGAGGCGAGCGTGTTTGTGTGTACAGGTAGGATGATGAAGTCTGGACTGTGGTTTCCGGCACATACGACCCAGCATTTTCTGACAATGTAGGCAGGGTAAACCAGAGCGACGAATGTTTCTAGGGGCTCCTGGCACGGGTTCGCCTGTCTCAGCGTGGTGGATTCGCACGAGACCGGCCAGGCCGTTGAAGAATTATAGTTGATAATAAACACAGTACGGAGTTGTGTTTACTGAGCTGGTTGGATCGGTGTTGGCTAAGGAAAGACAGGCGGATTTGGTAGTGCCACCGGCAGAGTAGGTTTAGGTTACTTAATGTTGATTGATTGTGACGGCGTTGCGGTGAATCCCCCTGTTATGAGCGCATATACGACCGAATAGGGCTATGCCACATATGGAAGGTTATTCAAACTACAGCATTTTAGAATAATCTCTTTATAATACTAATGTGCGTCAAGGATATCCCTAAAAAAGCGTAGGACGAAATCCAGTTTAGGAAATTAAGAATTTGCATTACAAAAGAAGTGTTACTCGGACGTTACCTTGGGTAAGAAGATAAGTCAGTGGCCCGATTAAAAATCTGTGTTTAATGCGGGATTTTTGATGAGGTTTTGGTCATTTTCAACTGCCTGCGTAGTTGTTTGACGAGCGCGCTCAGCTCACTTACGTAGGCAGATTGCGTAGCCATTGCAGTTGCAATCGATTTCTCCCATGAATCGCTGAAGTCGGTATCCATGCTGTGCAGGATATAATTGGTCATATTAGAAAGGAAATTGGCTAGCATAAGAAAGATTTCGATAAACTCTCATCGGGCCGGTACACATATATGGGAACAGGGTACAAGTTAAAAGAACAAAGGCTCAAACGGTTATTCTTTTATTTTGTAAAGGTGCTAACGGTTTGCTAGCCAATGCACTAAATAAAAGCTGCGTCCTATGCGGATTGTAGTATATTTCTCTCAAAACTTACCAAACTATACGAACTACTTTCTAAATGGCCTCCAAAATAGGAACTGGCTTATTGTGAAGGGAACTACTTGACAAACCGCATCGCTGTCTACCTTTCCACCAAGACGTCTCCTTGATTGCGAACCTATTTCGATATTCGTTCCTATCATGATTTACCTGGCAACAGTAGATTATGTAGCCCCACTCCTTCATCCCTACCACATGCATGTTTTCCTATTAAAACGGTGTTTATCGGGTTTTATGGGCGGGAAATTAGGACACGTAGTGGAATATACTTTAATAAATGCTAAATGCATTTTTATTTTACTGTAGATAGAAGCGTTGTTGATTTATATATGTATATTTTCCTAATCCGTATTGTCGTTTAAATTATTGCGAAAAAAA